ACAGAGGGCCTCTTTTTCTCTGTGTTACCAATGGATTAGGGCTACAAACTTTTGTCACTTGTTTGACAAGACTGGCTGGCCTTTGGTCAAGATATTTTAGGACATAATCACAAGTCAGCTGAGTCCATGGAGAAGGCCCTGCTCAGCCACCAATGGCCAGCAGAACTGCAAACGTGGCCTTCTCCAGGTTGGCCCAGCTTTGGCATGCCTCAGGCCTTGTCTCCGGACGTTGCTTCCTCTTGCTGAGCTGATGAAGCATTTTCCTCACTGAGGTTGTTTTGACTGCATCAGTTTGAGTTATATTTTTCTTTATTGCTGGGTTTGGAATCACATTTCTTAGCTGCCTTGGAGGCCTGCACTGCAGAGTGGAAGGCAGGATCTAAACATTTGCAGACAATATAAATATTGTCGACTGCATTGCCGATGGGCTGCTAAGCTCAGGAGACAGGAATTCATCAACACGATGAAGGCAGAGAAGTTTGGGGCTTTCTGCTCCATTTCCCAATCCTTCCCCTTTTAAGCCAGAGTGCGGATGTTCGAAAACTTCCCAGGAAAAAAAAATCCTTAGCCTCCTCTCATTTACAGAATAAAGGGGCATTTTGGGGAGAGGGCAGAAGAGGTCCCTTGGCCTCATGTAGAGCTTCAAAAGGATCCAAGCCTCCGAAGGCAGAGAGGCCGGCCTTCTGCAAAGCTCTCTGCTTGCACAAATGCAGGCAGGCTACCATATATGGCCACGTTCTTCTCATTATGAGCAGATCCAGCCAAAAAAAAAAAAAAAAAAGGAGACGGAAAAAAATACCCTAATGATAACAAGTTCAAAACAAATACCTTTTAGGGCATAACAGAATCCTTTCCAAAGACAATAATTAAAAGAAGTTGCCATTTACATCCAATGGCTCTTGCTAGGAAGGCCAGATCCAGCACAATCCCTGCAGAGGAGAGAGGCCGGCAGGAGCTGTCCGCACCAGCCACCTCTGGGCTGAAGGCTGCCTGCGGCTTCTAGGGTGGGAATTTAGCAGCCTGCAATTGAGACCCTCCTACAAAGCCTGCCTTGGGGGGCAGCCTTCACCGGGCTCCTTGAGAGAGACTTTCTTCCACCTGCATGGAAGCTCTCTTTGTTTCACAAGAAAAGGAGACAGGGATACAGTCAAGGATGGGCTGTCAAAACAAATGATTTAGGGAAAGTCTAAATATGGAACATGCAGAGGACAGATTTTGGTTCAAAAGCCGGCAGGGCTACTGCTGGTTCTCAGTGCTGAGCTCAACTGACATCCAGGTTTGCTGGTAAGAAGACCCTTATTTTGAGTGGTTTACAGCAGGCACTGAACCTCGGGCCTGGGGACTGAAAGAAGGTGCTCATGTGCCCTCTGCTGATTTCTCCCTTTACTCACAGCAGTTGAGCCTCGTCTTAAGGCATCCTTGTCTTTTTCAGGAAAATATATAAGACCAAGCTAGGTAACTAAGCTACTGAGGCTGCACCAAACCAGCTCCCCTCGCTTCTTTTTAAAATCAGGATGTTGCCACAAGCGGCCCCAAACTTCTCAGCCCTGAGAGGTTGAGCAGCTGGCCCAGCTCATCTGCCCCAGGATGGACCCTGAGGCTATTGGGGGGAACAACGACTGACCACAGGGAGGCCAGAAAAAGTATTTTAATTGCCAGCAAGTAATCACATTCAGGAATTCATGGAGGCAATTTGAAAAGATGCCTTAAATGTGAGTCTGTTATAGTATATACCAATAATAAAAAAAATGTTTGAAAGAAAAGATCTTGGGTCATTTCATCAATGGATTGGTCCTATTTGGGATTGTCTTCAGTGCAAATTTATTTTGGTGCTGAAAGCAGTATCGGCTTCTTAGAGGTTCTGCGCAGAGTTTTTAGCTCTGCTTTGCATTTCTATGCTCTGGCAGTGAGATCTGAACTGCAGCAGAGTGGTTCACCTATGGGGGGTATCCATCTCTGGAATCATTAAGAAGACCCACTTCCCAGGACAGTGGAATAGGGACTCCTGCAGAAAGTTGGACTAGCTGATCCTTGGGGCCCCCTCCACCTCAAATGCTGCGATGCACGGCTCCTGCACTCGTCCCTCTCCCCACCTCTGCCTCCTGGGTGCTCAGACAGCAATCCCAGCAAGGCTGTTCCAAGCCTCAGTCCTGGCTTGAGGTTGCCCAGGCAGTGCTTAGAAGCTGCCACCAGCTTGCCTGTGCCCCAGGAGGGAGCGCCTGTTTCACTGCCTTCCCCAAGAGGTGCAATTAGCCGGAAGGGGGGGCAGCTCTTGGCAGGGGGTGGTGCAGGAGGGTCCTCGGCCAGCCAGAGTACTCACAGAAGTCCAGGAGGAAAGCCGAAGATGCAGGCGCGTCCGGATGGGTGCTTGCTAGCAGCTGGGCAGACCGAGCCTGATGCGGGCTGGCCCTTCTATATAGAGAGGATGGGCTCAGGGGAGGGGCCACAGATTCCTCCCCCCCAACAGAATCTCCGGGGCTCAGATATGAAGACTTGTGCAAGGGGGGTGATGAGAGGGAGGGGGCTCAAGCGATGGGTTTGCAGCCAGAGTTCACCCCCAGCTAAGAGGCATTCTCTCCCTCTCCTTTTCTCCCCTAATAACTCTTGTCATGGCATTATGGGATGGCTCAGAAATTATCTGCCTTCCCATTGCAACACTATTTCCCAAAATGGAGCTTTCTTTCATCTGCTCCAGAGATATGAGCTACTGCTTAACCCACCCTGTTTCTCATGCGCTGCCAGGGCCAGCAAAGGGGACATGCGAGGGGGGGGGGCGGCAGATAAGAGGCAGCTCCCCCATTTCTCCCCAGCCCTCAGCAGCTCTTATCTGGCCCCGGCTTTGATGCAGAGCTCAGCCCAGAAGCCCCTCTCCCTGGGGGGTGACCGTTCCCAAGGAGGAAGGCGCTGTGTGGTGTCCCTGGCCTGTTTATGTAACATTTGGGGACCTTGGGCTGTTTTGGGCTGCCCCGTCTCTGGGGAATGGAAGGGCTCGCTTTTTCCCAGCTCCTGCCCGGCTGTTTCTGCAGAAACCCTGCCTGGTGCTCCCTTCCTGAGAACCTCTGCAAATCTCCCCAATGCCTCTCCGTCCTTAAATGGCAAAAGCAGCTCTTAAAAAGCCCAGGGGAGAAGGGGCGGAGTGGCTCCCCTCGGCCCAGCAGCGAAGGAGGCAAGAGGTCCCCCTGGGGGAGGTTGACCTTCCCTGAGCCCCCTAACATCTCAGGCCCTTCCCTCCCTCCCTGTGCAGCTCCAGCCCCACATGCCGCCTGGCCCAGGCTTCTCAGACATCCCAAATAGGGAGCACCAGGATCCTCCAGCAATTCCTGTCCACATTCCAGATGCAAACATGCCTCTGCAGATGTGCAGCACAACAGCAGCAGCCTAAATATGGAGCCCAAGGCAGGCAGGAAAGGCCAAGCCGGGAGGCGCTCACAGGGCCACTTCCCAAGCAGGAAAGGAGGGGGAGGCAGGAAGGGGGAGGCCGGCCGGCCCACTTGCTGCTCTGTGGTCAAGAGTCTGGTCCAAGACCCACTCAGGGCCCCTTGCCTGCCAAGCCTGGCCTGATGGCCTCCAGCTGTGCAACTCCAGTGCCCCCCCCCCAAGCCCTGGGCTCTGCCAGGGGAGCAGCCACTCAGCTTTTACAGGGCATCGGACTTTGCCCAGTGGGCATCTTGCCTCTTGCCCACCCTTTACAAAGAAAGCTGGTGCACAGCTTGTAGGGATTATCCTAGAGGGGTCCAGATGCCTGACTGCCCCACCATCTGTGAACCTGGTTTCTCTTTACTTGTGCCGCACAAGCCAAGTAACAAGCCAAGCCAGATGTTGCCAGGCAGCTGGCCCCACCCTGGCCCTGCTGGGCAGAGTTCAGGTCCTACAGTATCCAACAATTCAAGCTTGGTAGCGATGAGCAAGTTCTCTTGATCAGCCAAAATCTGCGATGGACCCTACAGGGAAAACTGAGTGATCCAGAGGATCGGCAGCAGCCTCCACCTCGCATGGGTGCTACTCTTGAGGATCTGTGGGCTCACATCACATGCCTTTCGGAAGATGGGCAGCCGACCCAGTTGGAAGAGTTGTGAAGCTGTTTTATAAATATCTGCACCTCTCAATGGCAACACTTAAAAAGGAGTGGAAACCCTTTCCCGGCATTTGTGTGGCTGGCTGACAAGCAAGAATCCCCAGCAGGGGATGATTTATGGGCAGGAGAGGACTGAGCTGGAACATGGAAAAAAGGGCAGCTTGAAGCAGCTAGGTAAGCTGCTTGGTGGACAGAAACTACCAGGAACTGCAGTGGGGGTTTGTCATCAAGGGAAACATACTAAAAAAAACAATATGCATCGCAGAAGTCGACCAGACTCTGATTACATCAGGAATAAGCTGGACACTTGAAGCTATCAAAGGAGAGACTCTCCTCCAGCTGAAGTAGCAGATCCCAAGGCCAAGCCACCCTGCTTTGTCCTGGAGGCAGTTCTGGACAGGCAGTGACCACTACCTCATGGCCAGAAAGGAAAAGCCAGCTGCTGGAGGGTGGATAGCTGCCCAGGCTCTGTTCACTATCCCAGGATAGTTTCAGATTTGAAGCATCTCTATTCGTCTTCCTTGCATTGTGAGTGTGCCAGATCTGTTAGTTGAGTTGCAACAGATGAATGCCTGGGAAATCAGTTTGACCTTGATGTGTCACATGCTTCTTAAAACAAATCTTACATTGCTGATTGCCAAGGCCAACTGATGGGGTTTTCCCTCCCTTACAAAGCTGATTTATGCCTTCCTCTAAAAAGAGGAACTGGCACAGCCTGTCTGAAGGTCTAGTGTGCATTTGATTATTTTATTGTGCTGTTCAATGCCCAGATTACTTAAGTGCCATCGAATCAACTTTTACCTATTACACAGACCTTCTGAGGGGTGGTCTGAAAGAAATACTGAATGTATAAATGATTGTTGCCCTTCTGAATCAACCATTTTATTGGACCAAGCAGATTACCACAATAAATGTAAACAGCTGCTATTCATAAAAAAATGTGGTTACTTTATTTATGAATGCCTTGTGAACCCCATGTATCTTCAAAATCCGCACACCATGTTCTGAGTCTGCAACAGTTTCTGAAATTTAAGATAAAGCCATTAACACATTAGTATCCAAGCACAGACTGCAATATGTGACTCAAAGAAAGACAAGCGTTGTTTAAAAGAGCCTTGAAGACTTGGCTCTTCACCCAGGTCTTGGTGAGGAGGACCCATTGTTGACTGATTGTTCTGTAACTTGTGAGCTGCCCAAAGTCACTGGGAGTCAGGCAGCACAGATGGTTTTTATTATTATTAATTATTATTATTATTTTCACATGTCTGTCAGTTTGTGGGTGCTGTACCCATTTGGTTGCTTTAATTAGATGGCTTGCTGGTAGTCCACTTTGAAGGTGCCAATGAGGGGGCTCTGGGGAACATGTGTGTGAGGGGCTTCTCTTCATTGCCTTGTAACAGCTGAGTGAGAATTCCATACAAAAGTGGCCTGTTAAAGAGAAAGAAAAGAAACCCAATACTTAAAAGGGAGTGAGCTGGAGCAGAGACTCTGTGAAGGGGTTCCTTTGCAGGTGCCTACTTCAGTGGGGTCTGCAGAGAGGGACCCCAGGAGGGGAAATAAAGGCACAAGGAAGAGTCACTAAGCAATCAAGCTGAGTTCATTGCACAAGAATGACATGCAACCACCCGCCGGGCACTCGCATCAACAAACTTCAGAAATACCAACGTACAGATGGGAAAAGGGTTACTTTTATCCAAGAGCACAAAAATGGCCACTGCCTGCCTGCAAATGCTTTGGGATTTCGACTGAGAGGCGGCCAACGTTGGGCCGAGGGAGAAAAATCTCGGGAGAGCCGGTCGCCTTACACGGATCTGCTGCTGGGGTCTTCCACCACGTGCAGCTCCTTGGCGAGGAACTCCCGGTCCAGGGGGATTTCGGGCTGGCCGGACTCTGCAGCATACAAGGGGGGCGGCTCAGCTGCCTGGGCGGCCGGACAGGGACCGGCCTGGCGGGGTGGAGAGGAGAAGGGAGGCCGCCGGGAGTTCCCCAGCCGGAGAAGGACAGGGGAGGGGGTTCCGCCTGCCAGGCTCTTCCCGGAGCCCTTCTCAGCGAAGGCGGCTCGGCCTTCCGGGCCGCCCCTTCTGCGCGGCTCGGGTGGACGGCCTCCCGGACCTCCGTCCCCCCGGGCTCCCATCTGGCCTGCCGAGGGTGCGGCCTCACCGGCTAGGAAGACGGAGGCGCTTGCGTTGTGCCGGTGGAACTGCAGGTACTCGCGGATGAGCTCGTTCAGCAGGAGGGTCTCGCGGGGGGCGGCGGGGCGCGGCTCTCCCGGATCGTCCAGCGCGGCGAAGACCTCGGCCCGAACGCGGGCCCGAACCTGCCCCAGCGCGCCGCGCCGCGCCAGCGCCTCCTTCAGGGCTGCGCGGAAACAGAGCGGGCGCCGATCAGCAGGGCGGCCCCAGCGTGGCCCGCCGCCCGCCCACCTCCCGGCGACCCCGCCCGTGGCGCGGGCCCAGCGAGGAGGGCTTCGGCCGCCCCGCCCCGCCGGCGGGACGACAAACCGCCGCGCCGCCGTTACCCGCTTTCAGCTCTGCGACGGTCGCCATCTTGAGAGGGGCGGGGCCGGAAGCCCGCGAGAGACCGGGACAGCGACGCCCAGAGCTACCGAAGCTCGCCCTTCGCCCCCATTGGCCCGCCCCCGGCCAATCGCAGCGCGGCCTGACTCAGCGGCGGCGGCAGAGGGGGGGAATGCTGAGTCAGAGCGCGCAGCCTCGCTGGAGGGCGCCCTCTAGCGGCGCTGCCCATATAGCGACCGCGGCCGGGGACTCCTCGGTCACCGGGAGGGGCGGGCTGCAACAAATGCGGTGGATCTGTCCCGGGGGCTCCCTCGGCAGGCGAAGCGGCTTCCCACGGGCCCCTCCCGGGCAGTCCCTCCAAGGAAGGGGGAGACCGGGGCGCCCGCGCAGCGCCTCGCCCTCCGGTGTCCGCGGGCGCTCCTGGGCGGGCGGGGGTCTCCCGGCTCTAGGGCAGTGGGGCGGCAGGCGGGGCTGCGAGGAGACTCGCCGGGGCCGCCACGTGCCGAAGCCCCGGGAAGAGACGCGGCGGGCCAGCCGGGCTTCTCGCGCACCCCGCCGATGTGCCGGGCGTCCCTCCCGCCCCTTCGCGGCCGCCGCGCCCAATCAACGTCCGCCCCCGGCGGCGGCGCCCCGCCCCTTTCCTGCCCTCCGCCGACCGTCTGCTGCGCTACGAGCGGCGTGAAGCTGGCCGGGAGCAACCCTCGCGGCCGCCTCGCCGCCCCTGCCGCCCGGCCCCCGGCTCCATGGGCGCCCCCTGGCTCTGCGACGGCCCCGCCGGCTCCACGCCCTTTTGGGTAAGAGGCGCGGGCAAGTCCGGCCACGCGGCGGGCCGGCGCGCTCTCCGAGCCGGGATGCGCTGCCTCGAGCGGGGCTGAAAGCGGGCCGGGCTGCGAGATCCGTAGCGGCGGCTGCCAGCGCCGAGCTGCACTTGTTTGCTCCGGGCGCGCACAGCCGCCTCGCTCCTCGGGGCCGCTTCCTGGGGAGGGCGCGGGAGAGGCCGCCGCCCCGTGCATCCTCCGAGGCCCGCGCAAAGCCCGTAGCCTCCTGGCTGGCCTCGGCTGGCAGGGACTCCCTTCGGCGCGCGGGAACCCGTGGCGCTGCGGGGCGCCTCCCCCCGTGAGGCCGCCCGGGTGAGCTGAGTGCGCCTTTCCTCCCCCGCAGAGGCGCTCCTGTAACGGGCAGACGCCAGGACAGCCGAGGCCGCGGCAGGAGCCGGAAAAACCGCTTTCGGGCAGCGCTCGGGTTACCAGGGCTGCTTTGCGAGGGAGGCAGGGAGGGAGCGCGCTTCCCAAGGCGGCCTGTTTCTCTTAGGCCGGGCTGCTTCGCGGGGAGCCCGGTCCTCCCAAGGAGGGGCTTGTTTCGCATGGGGTCGGCTGGGGTGTGTGTGTGTGGCCAAGGCCTTGGCGAGGGTGCGCTGCCAGGGCCGTGTCTGAAAGCACAAAGCACCGGCTGGCATCCCGGTGCAAATGGGGAGGATGGAGAAGACCCTGCAAGGACAGGGCCGGAGGCTGGGGCCGGATCTGACACTTGCTCACCAGCTTCCCACTCCCCAGCTGGAGGAGTGGGCAGACCCAGCCTGGTTCTCACCCACCTCCTGCAGCCCACTGCTGAAGGAGCAGCTGAGATGCCCCCCCCCCAGCCTTTCCCACCAAGGCCTTGGTGTCCAGTTCAGATGTGGAAAGGGACCCAGGATGGTGCTTGTGATGAAGATAGAGCCTGGCACCCTGAGTCTGGGGCTAAAAGGTGGTTTCTTCCTGCTGCTTGCAGGTGCTCCACACTGCTGTGTGAGGCCTCCCCCCAGGGCTGCTGCTCTTGTCCCAGGGCCCGTGTGGGGCTGGTGCTTTCCTTGCCTTCCCATCATATCGGCCTTTAAGCTGGTCAGGACAGCTAGCAACTGCTTGGTTTGCAGGCAACCATGCAATCAATATGAGTTTGGATGTCTGCCTGCTCGGTTTTCACCTTCAGAGAATGCACCGCTGCATATTTTCCCCTCCAGCAGACCTGTTGCGTCTTGCCAGCCACCCTGATAGTTTTCCCAGTGCCCAGTTTCCCCACCCCCATCCGGTTAGCCGTTGCTGTGGGCGTTGAATGTGGCACATCTAGCCAGGCCTCTGCAACAGCTCAGAAAGCAGCTGGCATTCACAGTCCCGCATGCCTCGACCTGCAAGGATTCCCTTTGCTTGAAGCAGGAGAGTAGAGAGTTGCCAGGGAATTGTGCCCACTGTTGTTTATGGCAAGAGAGCTAACAGGAACAAAAAGGTCGCTGCCCCCAAACCAGCCACCACCTTAGAAAGGTCTGCTTGGGCCAGGCTTGGTCCAAGATGTAACCGAATGGCTTGTGAGATCAAAGTGAGAAGGTTTCGGACTGAGGTTTTCTGATGGGAAACATTGCTTGGAAGATCTCCTTGCTCAGTCGCTCCGTTTTCCTCTGATCCCGGATCCCCATCTAAGTGCGGAAGGATCCTTCTTGGCCAAAGTTGCTTTCCTGGGACTTTGAATGGAACGTGCCCCAGCCAGGAGAGAAAGTCCCCCCCCCCCTGCGCCCACTTTCCACTCTTCAGAAAAAAGCCATTCACAGGTTGTGGGAAGGGTACAGAACAGGTTTCTCTTTCTTGGCCTGTTGAAGATTATAATGCAAAGAATCTGTGAGCCCCCTTCCTTCTTTGCATGTGGCAGCCTAGACTGGGAGAAAGATGGCTGCAGCCAGGCTCATTGTAGATGGAACCCTTGTGGAAATGAGAGCTCATTATATGGTGCTGATTTCTGGACAAAACACAGGTTTTCAAGTGTTTTGGTTTGCTTGGCCTCACCCTGATGATTGAGCCTTCTGACTTGCTTGGGAAAACGGTGTCATTTTTAAAGTATTCAAGCAAATACTTTTATGTTTCTGAAGTCTGCCAACAATTGCAGAATCTTGGCTTTGCAGTGTAAAAAGTTGAGTAACAGCCACATTCTGAGTCCCAAATTCTGAGAAATCTTGGGAGGGTGGGCATTGGTTGACTTTCATAGGGGCAGTTGAACTCCCAGTATTAAAAGTGAAAAGTAGAGAAACAGGATCTTGGCTGTCAAATAATCAGTGATCCAGAAACGTTGGCTGTCCTCAATTTGTAGGCATGTGCATTATTAAACGGCACAAAATCGCACATTGTCAATATGAGAAAACGGTTTCCAGTAATCTCATGCTGCTTTAAAAGTTTTGCCAAACGTTCCTGCCTGTTTTTCACACTTAAAGTTGTTTTGTCTGCAAAATACGGTATTTCAGGAAATCGTAGCTCTGACTAACCAGAGTTGAATTCCAGCAGCACCACTTTTGTATAGTGCATTTTAGGCAAAACGGTTTCAGGCCAAACAGCCGGTGAACGGCCATTGCTTGCTTGGGGCTTTACTTCAGAGGCTTTTGCAAAACGAAACTGAGTTGGCATCCATGGACAGTAAATCTGATGATTGTTCATTTGAAACCCGGAGAGCTCTGCAATCAGCAGAATTTGTTTTGTTTGCTTCTCCTGTGTGGCTTTGGAGCTGCCCTCCACTAATTCAGTGGGAGAGAGACCCGCAGGAAGAGGTGTGGAGCTGCTGGTGCTTAAAAGGTGCTGTCAGTCCTGGCTTTGTCACTGGGGAGAAACTTGCTGTGCTGTGGGTTTGTTGTGGTCAGGTTGGGGCATGAAGGCTGCTGGAGTGTCCGTGGGTGTTTGTGGCTGGGTGGGCGGAGGGAGTGGCTCCACTGACTCCTGACTCATCTTTGCCTTAACTTTGAAGCAGGAGCCGGGCGAGGAGAGGAGCAGCTGGGTGCAAAATGCGTTGCTAAATTTGGCGGCTGGGAAGTTAAGTGAGTCACCTCAGGTCATCCCCGAAAAGCTGGCCAGTGTGACGCACTTTCTCCTTGTTATGGTCGATTTCTCCAAGCTCCAAGAAAGGAGATTTTGCAAGCATTTCTTCCCTTCACGGTGTGTGCAGACCTCAGGTCGGGCCGAGGTTCCTCGGCATTCCTGCTCTGCCCTTCTCTGTTTCGGCCTATCTTTAAAACCTTTCCTTTAAGGACATTTTGGTCATCATCCCCACCAGCCTCAGTTTTGGGATGAAGAGTCAGGCAAGGTCCCCAGCATGGCTCAGGGCTTTTCCCCAAAGACTCTGGCTTCAGCCCCTTCCCGTCGGTTGGCGGGTGATTCCAAATCATGCAAAAGGCCCCCAGCCAGACATGATGCTCAGAACAGCCATGTTTTGGCTCAGAAACATTTTTGAATTGGGGTGCGGGGGGGGGGCTCTCATAAGGCCCCCTTTACAGACCTCCCCCTTCCCTTGGCTGATTCCTAAATTGGTGGATCTTTTTGCCACTAAAGTAGCTCCCCCATTGCCACCCTCCTTTCAGAATTAAAAATAGCCTTAATCTCTCTGCTGGGGATCTGGAGAGGCCACCAAGAGAAAGCTGAGCTAATCTTCTTACCGCATTTTTGGGATTGCTGAAAAGAAAAGAAAAGAAAAGAAAAGTGGGAGTGTTAAAAATGCAGGTGATGCTTTTGAACGGAGGCAACAAGGAGGAGTCCTCCACCCCCCCCAACCAATCTTTTCCCCTCCCCTCCTGTGGAGGGGGGGCACAGCCTGGCCCTTTGAAAGGGGTGGCTCTGCAGGATGCACCTATGGAATTGCCCGGGCATTGGCCGCTAGTCCACAGTAATTTCTTCGGAAGGGAAGCTAGGTGGGAGAGATCCTTGAATGACCCTCCAGGCAGGACCTCCCCGAAAAGGTTTGGGCTTCTCCTGGAACAAGGCAGACTTCAAGGCTGCCACATGAGTTTCTCCTTGATGTTGGGGCTGAATTGATTTGCATTCCCGGCTGGAGGGAGGTAATTGAGAATGCAGTAACTTCCTCCCCAAAATCTAGGCAAAGCGAGCCAAGTCCTCCAGATGAAAAAGGGAAATTGGTGAGCCAGCCTGGCCTCACCTCCCTTCCCCACCCGATCGCTTCTCCGCAGGACTGGAACCTGACGTGGCACACGGAGCGCCCGGACTTCACGCCCTGCTTCCAGAACACGGTCCTCGTCTGGACCCCCTGCCTTTACCTCTGGGTGGGCTTCCCCCTGTACTTCACCTACCTCCGCCGCCATGATCGGGGCTACATACAAATGTCTCACCTCAATAAAGCCAAAACGGTGAGTCGGGGCTGGGCCAGCCCTTTGCAGCT